CTCTTACCTCATCAATTCTACTACAGGGTCAGGGTCTGAAGATAACTTGATACTAAAGCAGGAAAAGCACTTTCATCCAAACTTCTGCATCTGCTCAGACAGACTAAATAATGGGAAGCAAGTCTTTCACAAAAGATGGCTAAGAAAGCTTCATGGAAATTTCAGATTAAAATCTTAGAAGCATCAAAGTGTTCAGAGGAGCCTGATGGGTAACCAGTCCAATACAGAAATGCCAGGAATCCAGATGTGAAGCTTGACACTTGATCCACTTTGAATGGAATATGTTTTCCAAACAGAGTTGATCAAGAGTACTTTGGGGGCTTACAGAGAGCTAGGAAGACAAAAATTAGCCCCTGGAGGCAGACAAAGCACCAACTGAGTAAACCATCTTCATGGTTCATCCAAGAAGTAACAGTAAAAAGTAAGATTTATGAAATATGTGGAGTGCCCTGGATAATATCGGATGACCTTGGATGACTGTCATCCTGAATTCCCAGGCACTTAGTTGAAAAGGAGGCTTTGGCGGGCAAGCAGGCATTCTACTTCAAATAACATGCATGTTATGTTTGAAAAATTATTTTCTTTACAGGCAAACACATAGCCCAATCTGTCCAGTAACTAGGCTTGGGTGGAAATGAGACATTAGCGATACAAAACACTAACAGCAACAGAGAGTCCAGGGGCTCCAGACACTGAGATTGTTCGATAAAGATGCAAACAGGCTGTGCCTGCTGCATTCAGGGAGATAAAAGTTAAGCTTAAAATTCCTCGAATAGACTGGGCTTGTGGATAGGTAATAGAATACTTACCTTACATGTGTGAGAGTCTCAATGCAATCTCCAGGACAGGGAAAAATAATAATCTGGCAGAAAATAGTAACACAAAAATTAAATTAAGAACTCAGTAAACAAACTTAAACAATGTACTAGACATCGCAGAAAAACACATCACACATGAACTGGGAAATGGACCACAAGGAATATTCTACCCTTGTATAAAAAGATAAAAAATGAAGCTACAAAAGAAAATATAATTAACATAGAAAACACATGGGGAATTTTTTCCATAATTTTCATTGGAATTGAAGAAAAATAGATAATGGGATGGGTCATTAATAATGGTAAGATAATAGCTAGGCATTATTTTGGAATGAGGAAATACTACATTTTATCATCAGGTTGTGTTTCAGAAATATAATACTGAAAAATGCTCCTTTAAAAATCAAGAAACATCAGATGTAGGCAACCAGTACTCCAGCTGCCACCCTATCTGATTTCCAGGTACTGGTTGGCAGAGACTCAACAATCGCCACTGTGCCACTCATTTCCCAAAGTAAGACAATTGAATGTGCCTCTCAACCTCAAAAATACCCTGCTGCTACCACATGTTCCTGGACTTGGAGGACATTGCACAGGCTACTGTCTGCACACCTGTCCGGAGACAGCACGACAGTGTTTCTTTTATTTCCATGTCATAGTGGTTATGAAGAAATTATGGATTCTGCCTTATTCATAGAATGTGATGGGGGGGGGCGTCTTTCTTGCCTTTACTACCCATCAGTGATGGGGTGGGGAGATGCTTTTTATCTCCTATTCTCAGAACCCAGGTAGAACCCATGTCAAGGATCCAACTCTCTGTCTCTCCTAAGTCTCCCCTTCCTGATGGAAATTTTTATCCAGTTGCCGGTGGAAGAAATTTGTTTATATGTTTTATTCTAAAATCTATCTCTTACACAAAGGCCAGTGAATCTAGTATTCAAAAGGTAAATATTTTATTCTTTTATTTCGGTGGTTCTGTATTGCTTATCCCTAGAGACAGTGAATGGCACTGAATGGACAGGGTAACAGCAAAAATATAAGAAAATTCACTAAGAAAGAGACTTGAGTAGGTTTCTGAAGGTGCTATTTTACAACAAAGGAAAACATAAGTCTTAACTAGTGCACATTTGCACACACATATGTATAAACACACATTTCCAGTATACATACACAAAAAACACATACAGAGACCTATTTTCTGTGCATGTTGTTTGTTGTTTGCTTTTATTTATTTTGAGATAGTTTCCTGGAATGTAGCCCAGGCTAGCTTTGAACTCATGATCCTTCTATCTCTGACTCCTAAGTACTAGAATTACAAACACATACTGTCATTTGGAACCTCCTGCTTGCAACTGAGTGATCTAGAAAGCCCCATTCCTATCTCTCCAAACACTGCCCACTCAGAGAATCTCCAAACAAAGGGAAGGTACCAAAAAACCCAATTCCGCATTCTTGGTGGCTACAGCAGCTTCCTCCCCTGAAGTTGCCAGCCACCCTAGACCCACCTAAAGCATTCAGCTTTTGACCATACTGGGGCACAAACTCACCTTGTAGCAGATACATCATCACTCCTCACCTACAGCCTATATCTTCTCCTTGCTTTAGTTCGGATGTGAGACTTCTCTGGCCTCAATCTCTGGGACTGGAGAACCCACCAGAAGTTGCTTTGATCAGTTTGGCTTGATCTGGCTTACTGCATTGGTGGAGAAAGCTCTTATGGCAGCAGGTGGGGGCGGGGTAGAAGATCTATCACATACCATCTTATCTAGGTTATATGTACAAATCTATCACAATAGAGTTTATTATTTAAAAAATAGTGTTCCATATCTCAGTGTCAGCTTTCCATTACTGGGAAAAAAATACTCGAGGTAATTAACTTTAAAGAAGAAAGGTTTAGTTCTGACTCATGGTTTTGTAGATTTGGATGTATAGTTAGACGTTACCATTGCTCTCAGCCCTGTGACAAGGTAGTATATAATGGCAAGGAGTGTATGGTAAAGCAAACTCTATCTCATGGCTGGGATGGGAGAGAGGAAGAGATGGGGAAGAGTGTACTGTCCCCATTAAGGACATATCCCAATGACCTGAAGACCTTCACAAGGTCCCACCCCTTAGTATTCTTACCTGCTCTCAATGGCACACTGGGCTGAGGTCCAAACCTTTGATAATATGGACTGCTGGGAATATATACAAATCACAATAGCTAAATATCTTCTAAATGTCTGATGTTCTAAGACCTTAATTTATTGTTGTTATTATGGTGCTTGACCTTTGCTATATAGCCAAGACTAGCCTTCAAATTGCAGTCCTCTGTCTGAGCCTCCTTAATGTTGGGATTATGAGGGTGGGCCAGCAGACATGGTGCTGGAACTTATTTTTAATATATTCTAAAATAGGCATATAATGGTATAGTATTATCCTTTTCCTGCCTTTATGACCCTTACTAGTCCTTTACTAGTTCACAAAACTATGAGGGATGACTGTTAAAATAAATCTTTCTGTCAAAAGCTGCCGAGCCCCACTTCCATGTGTGCGCATTACGCCAGCCGCCCACCCGAGTTAGGGCCCAAATGAATACACAGAGAGACTTGTATTAGGTTCAAAGCTGCTTGGCCAATGACTAGGATTCTCATCTGTTAGCTCAGTCTTAATTATCATAAATCTATATATTTTATAAGACTTATCGGACGCCTTATTGGCATCCCTCCTTGCCAGTAGCACACATCCTGCTGCTCGAGGAGACGAAGGGGGAAGGGGGACATTTCCTGTTTCTCCTTGCTATATCACTTCCTGCCTGGAACATCACTTCTCTACTACATTTCCCAGAATCCTCTTTGACTCCTAGTCCTGCCTAACTTGCTGCCATTGGCCAAACAGTATTTTATTCAACAATCAATAAGATAAACATACACAGTACATTCCCCATCACATGAGTCCATTGGCCAAACAGTATTTTATTCAACAATCAATAAGATAAACAAACACAGTACATTCCCCATCACATGAGCGTTGCAAATCAGTTGTCCAATTCTGTAAGAAAAATAATCCTGACACTTAGAAGACAGAAACAGGATCATTATGGGTTCAAGTTTAGCATGAGTTAGAGAGAAAGAGAGAGAGAAAGAGAAAGAGAGAGAGAGGCAGGGAGGTATGAATCTAAGAAGCGAATGTGAAGTGATGAAGCTTATTGTATAGGCCTGGGTACACATTATTGTCCTTGTTGCTGTGAGTAAATGCCTTAACCCAACAAAAGCAGTCGTGTTTTAAATGGGGATTATTCTGACTTACAGTCTGAGAGGATACAGTCAACCAAGTTAGTGAAGCTATGGCAGCAGAAACCTAAGGCAGCAAGAAGTATTTAGGAAGTAGAGGGCAGACAGGAAGTGGAACTAAAGTGAGCAACTAAAAAACAAAACACAATAATCCACCACATCAATGCTCACACCCAGTGACCTACTTCCTTTAATGGCGTTCCCACTCCTAAAGATTCCTTGACCTTCTTCCAAAACAGCACCACCAGCTGGTAACCAAAGGCATTTCATATTCAAACTGCAACAGCCCCACTAAGCCCAGACACACAGAAATTTGGGTAGATGGATGATGTCAGTGGTTGAGAGGTAGGTCATAGACCCTCATATGCAGAACCATCAGAAGAATAAGGTGTCTGTCTGGGCCCCTGTAATAAAAGATTATGCACCAGGTAGCTTGTAGAAAACAGAATCTTGTTTCTTACAGTTCAGGAGAATGCTCACCATCAAGGTTTTGTCCAACTGATGTCTACAGAAGCCTGCTTAATCATAGACAACACTCTTCCCTGGGTCCTTGCATGGTGCAAGGAGTCACTAGTGCTCTGGGGCCTCGATTATAAGGACATTAATTCCATTCATGTGGGCTCCACCCTCCTAACCTCTCTACCTCCCATAAGTCCTGCTAACACACACCTATGGGGCTTGGATTTCAACACATGAATCTGAGGTAGAACCAAATTTTAGTCATTGAAGAGAGCTGCCCTGAGTTCTTCTGGAGCTAGAAGTGAAAGAAAAAAGGAGTACTGGAGGATATTTCCTTCCCATGACTCAGAAAATAGGAAAAAGAATCATCTGGGAGTATTGAGGTCACAAGGCCCTATGTCCAGGTCACAGTGCCTCTGTGACATAGTATTGGAGCCTGAGTATAGTAGAAAGAGCAAGAAAATACCAAGGAGAGGCCCCTCCTGTGATGCAAAAACCAATGGTTATTGTAACCCGATAGCAGGGGCAACTGAAACAATAAAGAGCTCTCCTATGGCAAGTCAAGGACAAAATAAACATTAGAGGCAGCAAGCATTCGGGGAGCATGCAGTCTCAGTGAAGTCCAGAGTGGCATTGGCAACCACAACAGGCAGCACCAGAGTGAGTCACTGGGATAGGGGAGGGTAGGGGAAAGGCTGCTCTCCCGATGGTAAACAACTAGAAGGTTTGGAGCCAAACCAGGAAATGCCAGAGTATCAACCTGTGGTTGCAGGGTGGATGCCTGGGCCCCACCACAGGACTGCTGCAGGGTAGTCTCTGTGGATAGAATCCAGAAAGTTCCATCTTAAGCAAGTTTTAAGAAGTCTTGTTTGTTTGTTTACTGCTTTGTTTTGTTTTAAAGCAGTAGAACCCAACAATGTGAGGAACCACAGCACTTCTCCTGGACCCTGACTTGGAACCCTGACTTCAATAGCAGCCTTCATCCAGCCTCAGCTCTCAAGAGCAATGCCAGTTAGGGGTTAAGGGAGTCTTTCCGGTTCATCTAGTGCTTAAGAAACACCATTTCAAACATGATTTGGGCAGCAGGACTCTAGATTCAACCAACATGACATGGGGACCATTTCAAGGTCTGTATCAGCTTCTCTCCATGGTCAGTTGCCCAAGAATGGACTTGCATGTTGAGCTAATCATACCTGTCCAAGCCTAGGGTAACAACTGGGAAGCACACAAACAGGAAGGGGAGGGCCCCTCACCCACAACATCCTTGGGCACCTATGCCTGTCCACACAAGGGCCTCTGCTGCCTTAACTAGACATACTTATTATTTGAAAATTATTTGAAAATTTTGTTATTGTTCTGTTCTTTGGTCTTGGTTTTATCGTATTTTGGTTTGGGTTTTTTCCACAGGAGTTTAATTGTTTCTGGGTTTGGGTGCTTGATTTGCTCCCCCCCAAAGTAACCAAGAGGGAAGGGAAATCACTTTGGGTCAAAATACAGAATTTTTAAAAATGAATAAACCGAGAAATTAATCTTACCCAAGTTTTAATTTTCCTTTCACGGGTGAAATTTTGCAAAACAGAGCTGGTATAATGAAGTACCATCTTAAGTCTGAACATGTAGAGTTCATCTAATTGTATCGTTGAGTTTTTATTTTTACCCAACCCCACCCTGCTTGTAATAGACAGTGAGAGAATCAATAAGCTGTATTGAATATTCTCAAAACAAAGCCATTGCACAATACAAGTTGTGTATGAAATGAAACAATAGGAGCTAGGCAAGGAAGTGTATTCGTTTTAGTCCTAAAATGAGAACCCTAGAAGAAGAATTTACCAGATCTCCAAAAAACACTCTCTTCCCATTCTTCCTGTGTTTACTGTTGTCATCTTATAGACTCTCACATTAGTTCTCTCTCCCTCTCTCTCCCTCCCTCCCACCCTCTCTCTCTATATCTCTCTGTCTCTGACTCTGCCTGCACATTGCATGCACACACACACACACACACACACACACACACACACACACACACACTCCAAACTGAGAGCACAGTATTTTCAAGTTTCAGGACTAAGTCAAGCCCGTGGATGCTCAGCTCATTAACAGTGGTCTTTGGTTAAGGATTTAATTTCACTTGTGAGGAATGAGGCTTTTTTTGTTCCGCTGTTTGGTCAGTTGGTCGGTTTGGGGTGTTTTTTGTTTGTGTGTTTTTCCTCCTTCTCGTGATGATCCACCCACAGGGCCTTGTCATCAGTGACAAGCTCTGATTGGAGGTGGCAGACGGCCTTTGATTGGCTGGCTGTGTCCGAGTTCCTTCAGGGTGGGATATTGAGTAACACAGTTTCAGAAGACATGTAGTTATTCACGCTGTGATTAAAGTAAGGCACTGGCATTGCCCTCAGCTTTCCCAACACAAACATAAGAAGCATGAGTCAGTGCAGCCAGCTGCCCTGGGGTAGTACAGTGTTTGTTTCTTTTTTTGCCAATAAAATATGCCTGGGAGGACAAAGCAGCGGAGGCAGGAAACAGTGACACAGAATGAGCTGGGAAATTCCAGCTGCCCTCCTGCCCTACTTATAAGGAATAGATCTGAGTCATTTTTTAAGATGCAAACAGATGTTGAACTGGCTAACAAAATCCCATGCAAAATTTACCCTCTTAGGCTCTGGTTTCCTCTTTGGGGGTAGCGGGGCGGGGGGAGCGGGAGAGAAAGTATTATATTTCGACACCTGTATAGTGTTGTCAAGCAGGGTTTTGGAAGAATAGGCAGGCACACATGGTGTTTTGTTTGACTGTGCTGTTCCTTATGCCCTTGAAGTCAGCCTTCAGCTGACACGTCTTTCTGCAGAAGACAAGCTAGAGGAGAGAATGTGTCGTAGTTCAAGCTGTGGCTGTGAAGAGGTGGTGACCGGCTTAGAGACCCGGATTTACCAGGCATAAACATTAAATGTTAAATCCTTATGTGATCACCCAGTGTATGGATGTAGTGTCCTAGGTTCGACCTTGGATCTGCACTGAACAGGCAGGGGGTCATATTTATTTCCTTACTTGCAAAACCAAGAGCTTGGACCTGGACGGCTATTGCTTCCATTGCTGGTTTATAATTGAAGGATCAAAAAGAACTGAAAATATCTAACCACACTTTCTATCACCAGCAAAACTTTTTTTGAATCTCACCTATAGTAAGAATAAATACCTGAGATAGAAAATAATTTTGTTACAAATTTTGTCCCTCATGAGAGGGACAGGAGGCAAGGCTGAGAGAATATAATGGGTTAAGGGTACGATATAACATACATCGGTCTTACAAATAATTCCTTTTTTTAGCTCTGGTTGCTGTAGTGATCACATGAGCTCACCTCCTTAGACAGTTCATGGTGGATTATTATGCCCTACAGTAGTGTTGTTACCATTACTAATAAGGTAAGCATAGCGATGCAGTAAACACTGGGCAAAACCCTCCTACCTATTCAGGAACTAAGCTAAACATTAAACAGACACTGGAGTCAAAAGAGGTCAGACACAAAGATGACAATATTTACCCTTAAACCTGCTTGCTTGCTTTTCTTTCTTCTCTCTCTCTCTCTCTCTCTCTCTCTCTCTCTCTCTCCTCTCTCTCCCCAATGATTTCAGAGTAAATATACATTGCTGAGACTTTTGTTTCCTTTATATTCAAGCTCTACGCTTCTTTTTAAGTGCTGGTGTCCCAATCCTCGAGAGAAAAATGTCTGATGTTTTGCGAAACCTCCACTAGTTTCTACCATCGGTGAAGAAGTAAAAGATGACACATATGCAAATCAACAAGATCAAGGACAGTGGGGGGGGGATTCAGTGACCCCAAGGAAGGGCAGATGGATGTGACAACCTCACTGTCAACAGCAACAGAAGCCTGACCTTGGGCTGTGAAGAATGTGGTCTCCTGACTGGTGGTTCCTGCTTGAGGCTGCCAAAAACAATCTCTGTTTACGCTTCAGAAGAACTGACTGCCCTTCCCTGACTTGAGTGTCTTTAGTATCCTAAGCTGTTTCAGACCTCTGCATTTTCTCATCCCTGTCCTTACCCTGAAACAAGTCATTAACTCCCTATACCTCTTCTTCTCCCTGTCCTTTCTTCTTACCTTCATGGCCTTCAATTCTCCCTCCGGTTACCTGCTGTTCAGGCACCAAGATCCACTAAGCCACCTGAATTTTCCTCTAGCTTTCTCTACCCCCATTCCGTGAACCCTGATATGTTCCCGACAGCCCTGTGGCATTGTGATGGCACAGGAAAGACTTCTGACCCCCCAGCCCCCTACCACATTCATCTTACATTAGTTCGGAGATTCTCAACTGTAGGAAATGTTGCCCTTTGAAGGACATTCGGCAATGTCTGAAGACATTTTTGTTTGTTCCTACTAGAATTTTGAGAACCTATTGGCTGCTGTAGAGTAGAAGCCAAAGACAGGAGTGCAAGAAAATCACAGGACAGCCCTCAACGGCTAAGGGTCATCTGGCCTCAAATAATACTGACGCTAAGGTTGTTAAGGTTGAGACAACACCCTGAGTCTTTGAAGCAGGGCCCCATTCAGCCAGTTCTAAGCCTAGTGTGGGCTGCTCAGTAGAAGTCCAACCCCCAAACTAGAAATCCAACCTGAAAATACCTCCTACATTGCTATGACACTGGTAATAAGTGATTTCACTTAAGTCAAAGAAAAGTCCAGATTCAGAGGTAGCAACTCACTCAGACAATCTTTCCCTAACACTGTCCAGCTCCCTCCCTGGTACTTCTCTTCTCTGCCGGGTGTCTGGTTGCTATGTGTACTGTTGATTTCAGTAGTAATTTGACCTTGGCATGATAAATCACACACCCCTCTGTTTATTCTTGACCTTCATTCCATTTCATTTTAACGAACATCTCAATTACTAGGCACTGTGTAGAGAATTGCAAGAATAAAAATATGACTGAGATAAGGCTCGTCCTGCCTGGAAGTGCTTGGGGAACAGCAGAAGTGGGAGGGGAGCACAGTTCTGTCTTCTTTAGCATGTTTCAGAGGGAAAGCCTTTGCTTTGGGTCTTCAAGTACATTGATTAAAGAGTTTGAAAAAGCATACGGTGTGTTATTTCCATGTCTGGAATCTGCCCAGCTTGTTAATAACTGCTATCCACTAGGACTGAAGCTTTAGCTTAACATCTCAGTGACCCAGTTTCTAGTTCTCCATAGGTCCTAGCTAGAACCAAAGAATTCACTTATCTGACATCCTTTCTGCGCTGGTGATGTTGATGTTACTTTTATTGTTGTTGAATATGATGATGATGATGATGATGATGATGATGATGATGATGATGATGGTGTTGATGGTACTGCTACTGCTGCTATTTCTGCTACTGTTGTTCATAATTATGATGATGGTGGTGATGTGGATGGTGCTGCTGCCGCTGCTGCTGTTAATACTGATTCTATTGTATCTTCTCGTAGTACCGAGGACCACCACTTTAGTATGTACATCTAGCTAACTCCTTGCCTGACCAACACACAATTCCCCAGCGCTTTTTCAACAAATAGCTGAGTGTTTGAGTTTCTCTCAACAGGAGAGGAAAGCCCCTTCCAATTTATTCTTATAACCAAAAGACCTCAGTTTTCAAAAGCAAGCTTATTGTTAGATTCACTTCATTATACTCAGTGCCCTTGGGAACACAGTTGCTCATTGGAAATAATGAATAACAACATTCTTGAAGATCTTTATCACTGGAAATAAAATGTTCTATTTACTGGTGTGTTAAATGTACAACCTTATTATCTAGGCTTGCCCTTCTCATAGGGATAATGTATTCAAAATGCTTTTATTTTGATGATAGTATTTGGCTATGTGAATCCAGTATTTCTAAGTATCCCAATAGTATGTTCCTTTCCTTTT